ATTTCCTTACCCCTAGAGAGTGGAAATTTTCCTTAGTATGTTAGTACAAGAGAAGAAGAGGCTCTATTGTTCTATGGATTAGACATGTTGTCCATTGAAAAGAGTTTGTAGAACCTGAGATGTTGAGGTGCTTGTCTATAGATGGAATTAAGCTCTTACGTAGTAACAAGATTATAAAAAATATACTGTGAATTAGTTCTTTATCTTATAGTATCACATCAAATCTTGTACATGCATTGTTGGTTTATTTTTGTGTGCATCACACAGATTTTGAATATTTTAATTTATTTAAATAATTCAATAAAATATTAAAATTAATATACTCTTTTAAAATATAGAAATGTCACTCTATGATGGATTCAATTACTCAAATAAAAAATTTCATTTCATATTTGACGAGCTTGCATTTAAACTAATAAATCTCTCCCCCACCTAAAGTTATATAGGGTGTAGATTAATATGGGTTATAAACTTTCTATAAGAACAAACCCCCATAATTATTTGCATATTAAGAGATAGATTCACTTAAAATAATTCGCATTTAAGTTGAGGTTAAGTTTTCAAGTTTTTAAATATTTTGTTTTCACAATTTCTTATTTGAAAATTTCAAATTTAAGGTATCAATGTATAATAGTTATTATCAAAGACTAAAGCAGAAAAAGTAGAAAGTGTCTAGATACTGAGAAACTAATATCTCCTTTGGTTGAGTTTTAATAATTTTGAAATTTAAAAATTTATTGCTTAAGTTGATTTTTTTTTTAAATTTAGGACTCATATTCGGACGATGTTCTATTGAAAAAAAAAAGCCTAGATGATAAGGACTTATTTCATAGTAAGATGAACATCCTCAAAAGTTTAAGTAAAAGAAAAGTTTACAAACTAAGTTGAACCTTGAGTATAGTCTAATGAAAAAACAAGTCAATAGAGACTTATAGTCTAATTCCATAAAGAACTGAAACAAGCCCAACTCTATTGGACTTACAATCTTGTCTGAATAGGACTGCCAACTGAACTCATCTAATATCTTAAAAGCCTTGAGTATAGTCTAATGAAAAAACAAGTCAATAGGACTTATAGTCTAATTCCATGAAGAACTGAAACAAGCCCAACTCTACTGGACTTACAATCTTGTCTGAATAGGAATGCCAACTGAACCCATCTAATGTCTTAAAATCATCCAATTCCAATTTCATGAAATGCAAGATAAGTTGAGCTTTTATTTAATAGAAAGAAAAAGTAGGCTTTATAACTTGATTATTAAAAATAAGAAGATTAAGTACGATTGATATGCAAATATTTAAAGTTGATGCAAAATAATTTATAATCTTAAATTTATTAATTTTATTGTTTTTAATTCAGCAAGGTGAATTTATTTAGTTGATATTTTAGTGTTGAGTGGCTAGCAAGTTTTTTATAGGTATGCAGTCCTTAATGATGCATGTTATATGGTCTATAAGATAACTCAATACAAAAGGCTAGTTCAAATTATAAGGGCGGTCATACTCACAGTCCTTAATGATGCATGTACTAGCCTTCTCTCTTTTATTGCACTTTTTCTTTTACTACACTTTACTGCACATATCTTGTTTATACATGTGATGTTACTATTATGTTACTTGTTATACCTATAGGGAACCCTAGGGAAGAGAATACTAGGACATTTGATTAGAGGGAACCCTGCAACAAAGCCAATGACTTAACAATAATGATTATCTAAACACACTTCTTAAAACCCAAAATTATCACCGCAAGGAGCTCGGATTAAGCCTTCTGCAAAACAACACGAGGCAATGATGCGGTCAAGCAGACGGAGGATAACTTTAGACGATGATCGAGACCACAACATGAAGCGCAAGATGATCCACAACTAAACTTTTTGTTGTCTTAAACAACTCAAACCTTTAAAACTTTGAAGTTGTTCATCTGACACGACATAATTCCTCATGTCATTTTTAGGCTTTCGTACAATTGTATATCGTGCGACATAAGCCCTAAACTTTTAGGATTTCAAGGTCATCGTTCGGTATGGCGTAAACACTTATATCTTTCTAGGCTATTTGCATGACCCAATAATGTGCGAATGTAAGTCCTAAATTCTAAATAAATTTTTGGATTGAAACATTAAATAAACATCATCTCCAAAATGTACAGTCAAACAATAGGATAGCTTAGGAAGCCATTGCGACACCTCAAAATCTATGACCTACCCTACCTTTTCGCTTCTTTGGATTCAAAAAAATAATTGTTCCTATTTTGAGCCCTTCACGCTTGACTTTTCTGTGTCCAACATCAAAAACTAAACTTTGAATTTATGAAGATGAGACCACTAATCTTAATCGAAAGTTTTCCCATGTAACTTTGGTTGTCTAAGATGTAATTAATTGTAGGGGATTGCCTCTATAGATAATTAAGAACCCAGGTAAAATAAACTCTATCTAATATTTATATTAGTTGAGGGAATTTTCGGTCGCACAAAAAACTTTCCGCATACCAAACGGTTGTCATAAGTTCCTTAGTTTATATAATCAAGCCCGCTGTCAAGCAATATTCTTATCTCTTTTTAAGGTAATGTATTACTTGTATTGTTGTGTGCTTAGTTACTTAAACTATTAAACATATGAGATCCATATTGTCTCATTTTCTTAAAATTATAATGTTATTTTTCAAAATCAAAATTACATATATATATTTAATTAAATTATTTTCAAAATTTCAACCGACAAATTCCAATTTAGCAATCGACATGCCAGTTTGGGGCATCTAACTGAGAACTAGTCGAAGAAAATGATGTTTGTTAGGTGGTCTTACACCTTAACCTTAAGAAGAATATGATTGATTCAAACACCTTAATTTTGAAAAGCTTTGAGGATTGACTTTATCTAAAGTGAACAGGCTAACTAGACTAGAATATAATGCGAGTTAGGGACCTTTAACCTGAGAGCTAGTCATGAAAAAGGATCTCTGTTGGGGGGGGCGGGGGGGGGGGGCGAGGGCTTACATCTTAATCTTAAGAAGGATATGTTTTGCCTGAACACTTTAAGATTGTAAAGCATTAAGCAGTGACATTTAATCTAAGATGAACAGGCTTACTAGACTAGGAAAGAATGCTAAGTAGGAGGCAATTAGCCTCAAAGCTAGTCGAGAAATAAAATGCCCGATAGGGGGGCTTACACCATAATCTCAATAAGATATAATGGAAAAGACTCTTTAAGAGGGAAAACACAATGACTCAAATTCAACCTAAGAGATAAATGAGTTAGCTAGATCAGGAAAGTAAGTATGTGGACTCACAATTATCCTGAGTGCTAACCAAGATGAAGGATACCATGGATAGCCTTACTTCGCTTTTCTAAGATGGATTTAGCAGAAACTTGAATACATTAGGTCGAAAAACATAGAGACTCATATTCAACCTAAGATGTAAACAAGGTGACTAGCTTAGATTGGGCTTGGCTTCCAATAAGGGCTATTACAAGAACATGATAAAAAAGAAATAATTAAAATTTAGATTTTTTGTATGTAAATCCATTTTTATGTTCTAGAATAACTTTTTAAAATTTGGAGATATGCATTGGCTGAAAATTTTATAATAAATTTATATATAAGTTAAAACTATGAAAGTGATTAGCACATTCATTCATTAAGGGCCACCCACCTGTCACTTCAATATATTTCTCTCCTTATTTCTTTTGAATTTTGGTCAATATAATTCCTTTAAAGAGAGTTGCTGTAAAATAAAAATTTTGTTATCGAATAAAATATTTTGAGTGAATTTTTGCTTTCTTTTTGCATGATGTTTGATGACTTCAAGTGCTTATTTTTTCTTATGCGAGAATAAATATTTGTATTTTTTCAAGTTAGTCTCTACTCCTCCTTAATAGTTGCTCTAAGCTTTTTAGCACTCTTCATCCACTTCATGAACAAGTTCTATGAACAATGAATCAACAATCGAAATCTCACAATCATTTAAAACTCCCGAGCTCCTTATAGCTCTTAGCCAAGCTACAAGACACTAAGAACCGTTAGTAAGCCCATCCAATCCTATCACATACTCTAAATCTTAAGGGCACGTCCTAAGCTAACCATTCATAATCATTTATAATCTTTTTCTCAGCCCAAAATATTTTTTGCAATGAAATCTTCTAAATCAATCCAAACTAACCTAATTTATACTAGTATTGGTATTCATGCCATCATATCATACTAAATCGTTCCATATTTTACAAAAAAAAAAAAACTCAAACTATCATATTTAGATGCTAAAGATTCATGTCATTTTCTATGTTGTAATCTCATCAAAAGGCTACCAACCATCATCACTCTTTGTACTTTTTAGAGCATTTTAATATCATCTAAATCGAGCATATTCAAAATATATGTTGTGTGGCAAGACCATCATATGTGACTTTTTCTCGATCTTACATTGCGATTGCAACTTGTTTACTTGAGACTCACATGTGATGCTAGCCGTTTTCACTTGTGTCATCGAAACATGTCCATTCCTGCACCATTATTGTAGGTTTGCACATAGCGCCAACCATCCCTATGATCTATATCTCTACACATAACATTGTTGATTCCTGTTGATCTCATGAAATTATTTTCATCGTCATTGCAAGATCTACAATACTACTTGCATCGGTCTATTGTAGTGCCTTAGATTAGTCTAATTTTTTTTTAATTTAATTCATTTTACTTTGAAACAAATTTAAAATATAACCTAAATTCTTTTTTTATCAATTAGTATTTTAAATATATATTATATATATTTTTTAAAAAAATTGAAGATATTTATAAAAAAGTACACGTCCAGAGCCCACCCAGATACCAAACCCAGCAGTTCCCACAATGCAAATAGTAAACATGACCTTCTCCTGTCGTCACGACTTTCGTAGGTCCAATTTCATGGTCCCAAATCCAAGGCCGCAAGGATTTCCTCAACCGAACGTTTACCCAATCGCAGCTTGACAATGCCACTTCTTGTTCCCACCAAAACCAAAATGCTCCACCTTTTCCCCTTCGTCTCTACCTCTCAAAAAAATAATACTCTACTCACTCTCTCTGCTCCGAGCTATGAGCCAATCCCACTCCACCAACGGCGGCGTCAGCAATCGAACGCCTCCTCCGATGAACGCCGCCGTTCACCGTGCAGCGGGTCAACCAGGTCTCACGAGGTATGGTTCAGCCCCGGGTTCGCTCCTCGCTAGGGTAACCGAGTCGGTAATATCCGGCGCCGGAGATGGGGGTTTTCGTACAACAATCGGATCGGAAAGCCAGATGAGCAGATTCTTTCCTCGAGAGTCTCCGTGTCTTGCATCGGATTCCGGCTGTCAGGCACCCGCTGCTGGAGGCGTGGCCTTGGGTGAGGTTGAGATTCAGCGAAGTGGAGGCGGAGGGAACCAGGCGAGCATGGGGCATAGGCAGCCATTTGACCTAGGGGGTGATGCTTCTGCGAGGGATTTTGTTTCGGCGGCTGCGGCTGTGGCTGCTGCTGCGGGGGAGGCTAGGGCTGGGGATTCGCATCTAATGCGGCAACATAGCTCCCCTGCTGGATTCTTCTCGCATCTAATGGTGGATACTGGTAAGTAATTTCTCTCGTTCTTATCGTATCGGTAAATAAAAAAGATGCATAACATTTCAAATGATTTTATAGAAACTATGAAAGAGCTAGTTTTTCCTATGTATTCCTCTTCAATTGAACTTTTTAGTTCTGGAGATAAAAAACTTGACTGTTTAGTTTGGGAAACAATCTGATTGGGCATGATTGAGCTGTTTATGGGCCAAGCAGAGGACAACGTGTGATTTATTTTATTTATTTATTTATTTTTTTGACAGTTGAAGGCGCCTTCTTAGATTGTAAGTAGTATTTTTCAAGTTCTTACCAATCCAATATAGCACATCATTTAGATTTTAAGTAGTATTTGTAAATGTTATCAAGATGGGGATAGCCTCATACATTTTCTTGATTTAGCTCATCATTTATTATGCCTTAATTAAATTAAACTTAAATAAATTTAATAAAAATATCAGATAAATATAATCCGCTATCCATTGCATACTTTTAATATTCTCTCTTATGATGATAATAACTATGAATGTCTAATGATTTAGTTGGGTTTGTTTGATAATTTAGTTTTATTGAAAATAGCACATGACTCGTGAACTCAAGGATGTGTGTAGGAAAATAGGCTCATCCTGATATAAATTGAATTAAGATATCTTGACATAAATTTTTTTCTCTTGCTATACCTTTTTCTACTTTTTTTTGTGGTAATTTGAGTCATTGCAGGTAATTTGTAGCTATTCATTCGCGTAATTATTTGATTTCTAATTATAATAATTAAAGAATTTGGAATTAATTTAACGATTATGATTTCATTATATAATTATATTATGCTAAGATAATTAGATAAATTAGGTAACTATATTGAATGCAATTAATCCTGTACATTGATTTATCGAGGGGAGCTTATGTGGATTAATTGAAGTACCAAACACTTCTTATTCTGTCAATTATATGATAATTAGGCTATCATTTATTAGTTAATTAAAATACATTAATTTATTGATTGTGGGATTTTTTTCAAATAACAAATTGATAATCATTATTCTTGATTGCACCATTCGGGTCAATTCGGGTTGACCCTAGTCAAGGCAAGCCTTCTTGACCCAGTTAAGTGTAGGATTGTTCAATCACCTTCGTGCTTACGACATGGTATGTTCTAGGCTTTTAAATGTTTATATAGATTTTGAAGATTCGGTTGAAAGTAACAAAACACGCCGACTGAATTATAATAGGCCATGGTTTTACACAAGCTCGTTATAAATCCTTATATCCTAGAGAGTTCGAGAGCATGACCATTAATTAAGCTGGCAATTGATGTCTCTAGTTTTCTCCATCCAGGCTTCATTGCCAATTCCAACTCAACTCGATTCCACCTTTTTCTAGGGGAGGGGTTGACTTCATGACCACCAGGTGCTCACTGGTTGTTGGTCATTTGATCCGCTTGCGCCATGGCTTAGAGTTGCTCTACATATTTCAATAACCCCTTCTCCAACGTGCAAGGAATAGTCACAACCATTATGATGCATTCAACATCAAGGCCTCTAAACTCCCTTTTCTAATACTACAAGAGACATCTTTGTCTTTTACATTGTACTGCCCCCTTATCTAAATTTGGTTGTATTCCATGCCCCCTTATCTAAATTTGGTTGTATTCCATGTCTAAAGCTACTGGAATATGTTTCTTTTGGCCTGAACCTTTTTTTTTTCAAGTTAGCACATAAAAATTTCATCTCTTCCATACTCTCTTATTTCAAATTATGTGTGAGATCTTTATTCAAAGCTAAGATATTAAGCCCTTTCTACTAGTATGAATATAATGGGATTTTATTTTATAATTATAGTATGATAAGATAATTAGATAAATTAGGTAATTAAATCGATTGCAATTAATCCAATACTTTGATTTATAGAGGGGAGCTTATGTAGATTAATTGACGTACCAACACTTCTTATTCTATCAATTATATGATAATTAGACTATTGTTTATTAGTTAATAAAAATACAGTAAATAATTGATTGCGGGATTTTTTGGCAAATAGCAAATTGATAATCATTATTCTTGATTACACCTGCTCGGCTTGACCCTAGTCAAGACAAGCCTTTTTGGCCCACTCAAAGGTAGGATTGTTCAATCACCTCTGCGCTTACGGGATGGTGTGATATAGGCTTTTAAATGGTCATATAGAGCTTGAGGATTTTGTTGAAAGTACAAAAACCTCTGATTCAATTATAATAGGCCGTGATTTTACGCAAGATCGTTATAAATCCCTGTATCCTGGAGAGTTTTAAAGCACGACCATTAATTAAGGTGTCACTTGATGTCTCCAATTTTGCGCCGTCCAAGCTTCATTGTTAATTCCAACTCAACTCGATACCACCTTTTTCTTGGTGAGGGGTTGACTTCATGACCACCAGGTGCTCAATGACTATTGGTCACTTAGTTCGCTTTCCCCAAGGCCTCATATTTCAATCTCCTCCGCTCCAATCAACAAGGATTATTGATGACCATTATGAAATGCCTTCAACATCAATGCTTCTCTAAACTCTCTTTTCTACCACTATTAGAGACATCCTTCATAATTTAAGTCTTTTACATTTTACTGACACCTTATTCAAATTCAGTTTTATTCCATGTCTAAAGCTGCTAGAATATGTTTCACTTGGGCCACACCTTACCTCTTTTTTGTTTTTTTTTCCATTTTTCACATAAATTTCATCTCTCCCATGCTCTCATATTTCAAATTCTGTGTAAAAGCTTTATTCAAAGTTAAGATATTAAGCTCTTTCTACTAGTTTAAATATTATGGTGGAAAGTATTTTGATGCCATTTGTGTGAAATAATTCTCACATTTTGAGGATGGAATAATTGTTAATAACCCTTATAATTTGGAAGACTTACAACAATATAGCTCTAATTCTAACTCTAACTACTTAAGGAATGTGTTAGGTTCAGAACAATCAGACCCTTGGTTAAAATTTTGCAATATATTACGTAATATTAGGCACATCTTAAGGCTCGCCTTAACATTTTTATAAAAAAATTGCAATAAGGCATGACGTGCCTCAGCGTTTTTTATAAAAAAATCGCAATGAGGTTTATGCCCCATTATCTCATCCTAAGGCTAGGAGTACGCCTCACCCAAACTGAGGTGCACATTGCTTATAAAAGTGCCTCAAATTTTTTAGGCTATTCATATTTTTTTTAAAACAAAATTAAAAGTGGTATCAATATATCTCATTTATTAACCTTCACATTTCATATACTAAATAACAAGAAATAAAAGAGAAGGGAATTTATAAGATTTTATGCAGTTAAAATTTTAATTTTCAACGTATTTATTATTTTAATTAATATTTATGTTGATGATTATTCGTTAAAAAATTAGAAAATAAGTGGGATTAAAGATAATAAAGAATGGAGGAATATAGATATGACTAAGGATAATACACAAAATAAACAATTCATTAAGCCGATAATTCTAATGAAAATCAATTCTGCAATGAGAGTAATAAGGACTTAAAATTAAAAATTAAAATGTTGATGATTTATTATATTCTTGTTTATGTGAGGGTAGTATCAGAGAGAAAGATTAATGTGAAATTTTTCTTGGTTGTTTTGTTTGGATGTTATATAATTATATTTTAATATTGGAGTGTACTTTGATAATTTATTATTTATATTTTTGTTTTCTAATTTGATGTTAGGATATCAACGTGTTATTTCTAATGTTACACAAATTATTATTTTCTTATTCAACTAGAATGTTGTTATATTACTTTTTCATGTGTCAATAAATTAGAATATTAATATATTATTTCTTATTTCACAATTTATAGTTTATACAATATTTATTAATTTGTGTAATTTTTTAAATTTGAGGCTTACGTCTCGCATCACAAATGAGAAACGTCTCAATATCCAATTGTGCTATTTTAAACATTAAATCAGACTTTTGTGATCTATCTCTAGAAGATTGTGTCTGATGCATGGAAAAAACTTATGCTGAAAAACCTTCATCTTTTACATGAATCTTGCCAACCATATTTATTGTTGTGCAAACAGTTGGTTTGGCATGATTGGTTGAAAATTTTTGTCAATCAATTAAATCAAATGAAATGACAGACAACATCAAATTGACCAAATAAGATATAAATTCGAACTAAATTGATTCAAAATATAGTTCAGTTTATTCAGTTTGGTTTTAATTTAAACAAATTTTGAAATTTTAACAAAGATATGTGCACTCAGTCAATTTGGATTGATTGATTGATGGATGGATTTTTTAAAATAATTGCTTGATGGATTTACTTTTACTGTAATATAATTCGGATTTTTGGTTTAACTGAAATTTCTGGTTTTTTTCAAACCGAGCTAATAACCTAAATCTAGATAACTCTTAAATTGGAATGAAAAACTGAATTGTGATTTCATCAACCGAATCAAATCAACCAAGTATATTCTGTTTGGTTTGATTTTTCAATTTAAACCAATTAATCATCATTTAGTGGCATTCACAATGTAGCTTCGCACCATCAGGTTTAAGTTTGCCTTCTATTACCATCATAACACTTTCAACTTATTATCACCCACGATGATGAAAATTTTATCTTTATTGTGATTATATCCCTTGAAATGACATTTATGATGAGCCTGGATGCCTAGCCCGTGAAAGGATTCTTCTTAGGGGACGATCTTTAAACTGCTCCCCATGAGACTTCTAGGAGACCTTATAACTTACTGATGTCATCCTCAGACGTTTCATATACGTGGGGTTTAAGTTGCTGATAATTGATTCATGATGGCTCTTTTGACCATCATGAAGCTGATGACCATTCCATGGCCATCATACAAATTCAATATGCTCTGATGTGATCCTCGATCGGGTTTTTCTAGTTGCTTATGATTTAACTGCCTCTAACATGAAAATGCCATCATCTTTTTGCCAAACTGGTTAGGGCTTTCTCTGTTAATTTATCTCGAATTGGAGAATTGTAAGTTACCTCTCCCCTCCCACCTATCAAAAAATCTACATAACAAAGGGAATTTCTTTATGGACTAATTCCAGAGGTTCTCTACCGAGGCACATCGAATTCTAAGTGTCAATTCCGAGTTTTTATTTATTTAGTTATTTATTTATTTTTATTTTTTTTGGGGGAGCTCTTCAACCTGGTCCATTCTACTCAACATTGATGAGAGACAGTTCACAGATATGTTGGCTTATTCATTGCATTAAGTCCCAAATAACAACATAGGTAGTGATTGAGATATAGGGTTTGCAAGGTACCTAGGTGTCTTTTTTCCAAATGACGTATGTATTAAATCTCCCTCACCTGTTTTTTTTTTTTTTTTTGCTCCAACATGCTAAATTTTTTTTACTTGCAGTGAATGTATGCAAAATCTTCATCTTTTTCTTATGCACCGCATTAGGCAAAATTTAGGGATTATCTGAGTATTTTTGGCATTCCCAGTACATTAACATAATTCGTTTTGGAAAATTGGCGACAATTGAATACTTTTCATTGCATGTGAGAGATCCCAAGGCATATCCTTGTGACTGCGAGTGAGCTCCTTTTGTCAATTAGATAGAGCATTTGATCAAGCTGAATTATGAAATCGATATTGAGGTGAGCATTTATTTATTTATTATTAAGAGAGCTTGAGCTTGAATCAAGTTTTAAAGTTTTGTTCAAGCTTTTTATCAATTTGTTTATCAATTTTGAGTTATAATTGAGCATTAATGTGTCTAACTAATTATATATTTGATGTTAATGACTTAAACATATAATCTTAATTCTTGAGATGATTGGTCTTTTAAAATTTAATCAAAATGACTTAAACATATAATCTTATTTCTTGACATAATTGGTCTTATAGAATTTAATCAAATGTAACATCATTCACTAAGTATTATTTATGTTGTTTGGTGAAGTTCTACTATTAATTTAAAAATATTTTAATCCATATAAATATTTATTTATTTAATATCTTTATTATTTTTATACCTCTATTAAGATACATAATTTTTATAAAGTGCATGAGATATATGAAAATTGACATAATAATATAGAATAAATCATAAAATAAACAATGAATATCTTCACAAATATAAATGAATAATTTGTCACTGCTCCAACTTGTTCATTTATATGATGAGCTTTTTTAAAATTTTGTTCTAGTTTTTTTTTAATTATATAAATAATGAAGCATAAAGGAGTCTTATATGAATAAATATGATTTATTGATCGATTGCACTAATTCACTTATCACACTACATATTGAAACCACCCAACTCCTTTAAAGTCTGCCACTATAAATTAACTTTATCAAAGCTTCCAAGCGAAGATCTAATTTTATTTTATTCCTTTGCAAGGCTTCAAATAGAAAGGAATGGAAGAAGTTTCTTTTTTTTTTTCTGAGATTGCATGCCATATGCAAGGACTATTGGGGGCTGGGCCTTTGCAAAGCTGCAATTGGTGGTGATCTGCGAGCCATAACATCTCCCAATTTATATTTAAAGTGTCTTTAAAAGGATTTCTAAATGGCGTTATTCTGAAAAAGAAAAAAAAAATAAATTCTGGTATTAATTTTTGAAAGTTTGCTTAATTTCTCTAGTAGTAGGCATCATATACAATGTGAGTATTGAAGCAAATGCAGTATCCCAATCTATGTTTTATTTTCTTAGCTGGATAATTAATCCGCTTCCTTTCTTTAATTATCTTCATGGACTGCAAAGGAATGCTTTATCAAATTGAGCAGGTTTTGCTGCTACAAGTGGAACAAGAAGTTACTTCCAGCCAGGCAATGAGAACACCAATGTGCTGACGGGTAGAAGGCTGAAGTCCCAATTAAGCTTCTCAAGGCAAGATGCCGTGTCTCAGATCTCTGAAATTAGTATCCTTGAGATGGGAGAGAGCTCCGATGAGGCAGGGGGCAATGTTGATCAATCTTACGTGCCCAGCAGTTACCCTATCAGCTCATGGGATGAGACCAACTCCATAGTTTTCAGTACTTCGAATAAGCATTCCAGAGATAATGGAGACATTATTAGCACTCTCAATAATATTGATTCCCCGGTAACTTCTCTGCCGGTCTTTGTTTTTACTTTTAGGATTTGGCTTTCCTTTCTAAATTATATCACTAAATAAAGGCTCTTTGGGATTTTTTTTTTACCTGGTCATTCTGATTTCCCTTCCGTCTTCTAGTAGTAGTAGTAGCTGTTGTTGTTTTGTTTCACATGACTGATGTGAACTTTAATTTGTTGGCATGTTAAATTTTCAGTATGGCCTTCCTGGTACATCAGTAGATATGTCTGTTGTTGATAAGCTCCTTCAAATTCAACAAGATTCCGTCCCCTTCAAAGTTCGGGCAAAGCGCGGTTGTGCTACACATCCCAGGAGTATAGCTGAAAGGGTTAGACTATGCTTGTTAAAGAAGCACTTTACTAGCCTCTGCTATTTTTGTATCTTTTGTTTTTCTACATGCATGTGCCTATAACACGTGCAGACAATTTGCTGACTAATAATAATTTACAAATACTGCGCGTATAAAAGTTCTCATAATTCATTATTAGGATGTTCCTATTGAACCTTGTAGTCATCTCAACACCATTGTTTGAAGCTTACTTTTGAATCTTATTCTATATCGACAGCTGATTGGCAGACATTCATCATGAATTTTGTTACTCTGCCTCATCTTCCATTATGCTTGTTGTCTATGCTAATGCTTTTTGTGTTGCTGATCCTACTTATGAAAATCCATTATTAGGTTTTGTTTATTCCTTACTCTATTTTATTTTTTCTTGGATACCTCTTTAATTTCATCGTGAGTGAGAAGCAAGCGTGGATATCGAGCTCTTGCGGACTTGGTGAGGGCTTTGACTTCAATTGTTACTGATTTAGGTAGTTTTTTTCGATGATCCATCTATTGTTCATTTTGATTAATCATTCTGCTGTTCACATTATTCAGAATGATAACTACCATGACCATATTTTGCACATTAAGACAGGTTGCAATTTGATTCGTGGTGAGATTGCTTGTTTTATTTTTTGTTTTCGGTGTATTGCTTTACGGGATCAGCCATCTAATATCTTAACTGAATCTCATCATCCTTTAGGATGCTCTCAAGAACCATATATCAAAATCCAATTATGCTGATGGCTTATATACTTCATTGAATCTGCAAGGGTGTGTGTGTGTGAACTATATCTATCTATCTATCTATCTATCTATATATATTTGCAGAGAGAGAGAGAGAGAGAGAGAGAGAGAGAGAGAGAGAGAGAGAGAGAGAGAGAGAGAGAGAGAGAGAGAGAGAGAGAGAGAGAGAGAGAGAGAGAGAGAGAGAGAGAGAGAGAGAGAGAGAGAGAGAGAGAGAGAGATTTTTAATGAATTTATTTCTCTCGCTCTCTCTCTCTCTCTCTCTCTCATATTATTTTGTTTGCAACACATGACAAATTTGTATTTCACATCTATTCTTGATTGTTTCTTCATTTCTTTCTAGGAGAGGAGAACTAGAATCAGTGAAAAATTGAGGAAATTGCAAGAAATTGTGCCCAACATGGACAAGGTATAGAGGAAGAAAGTTGCAACTTTCGAACTCCTGACTCAATTTTCTCATACTTTTGTTTCCCGTATTAATTTGGATATTAGAGGAGGCACTCTGCACTTACATTTCAGCGATGGATTTTCGCTTTTTAAACATTTTCTTATGTGGCCAATTTCATAAGTCTATCAAATCTATCATCGAGCTCTTAACTAGCGTTGACTGCAAAAATAGAGGAGCCTTGTCCGCTAAATTCAAACCATATTCATTATTTTAGCATGGTTACTTTGTATACGGCAACAAAATGTTGGATTCTATATATGTACAGACCCTAAAAATGCATATGCTCATTTGTTCAGCAAACGAGTACAGCAGACATGTTGGATTTAGCCGTTCAACACATCAAAGGGCTGCAGAGCCAGATTCAGGTACTTAACTTTAAGTGGCCAATGCCAACTTCTTATTCCATGCCTTTCTTTGTTCATTTTCTTGAAGCCTCTTTTTATTAGTTCTTTTTGTTTTTAAGCATTCATTAATGCAAGTTTTTTTATTTCTGGCGTGAAAATTGAAATACTGCTGTATGCATTATCTAATTATTATTGAGAATTAGATTTAAGGTTGCAGTGCACATTTTGTGCATGATTTGCTTAAACTAGGGAGTCTACTTTTCTTGCATATTGACATAAATCTGCTAGCAAAATGATGCAAGAAACTTTAACCTCTATCACGTTATGAAGGCGCTAAATTGAAGTCATAAAGATAATTTCTTTGCAAATGCACGGATAAAACTAAGTACATCAACCCTCATAAAGATAATTTCTTTGCAAATGCACGGATAAAACTAAGTACATCAACCCTCCTTGGACTCTATATTAAGAACCCGTAGCTAGATTCACCTTTTTTAGAAGGTTTTAGTATGTTTGCAATAAAGATAATAATAATATGAGATGAACATAGGACCAACTTCTTTGGAGAACAATTCTTTAAAGGAACATATTTGTCATGTCAAGAATTGTCAACTAGTTATGATGAAAAATATGAGTAACATATGTAGGACCAGATTGTCCACAGTTGGTGCTCTCTCTCTCTATGCACACTTTTTGTGAGTAAAAATTTCATGCATGAACCGCACACAATATATCTTTTTATTATCTTTTTCCTTCTATGCAGTGTAATATCTGATAACTTATGTAGGGTGTAATTTGCACAAATCTTTTAAGACGTCAACTTCGATGACAGGTTGTTCTGAACATATACGGACCCACCTGTGTGCATACATGCATTTTAAAGTCTCAATTGCTATAAAATGGTCGTTTCAATACTAAGCATAAGATGCCTTAGGAACTACAACTTTATTTGGCAACTTTATATTGAAAAGAGATATATTTTGTGGAATAAAGAGAGCTTACCTAATCACATACCTCAATAAGAGAACTTGCCTTCTCATCCAGAGTATGTTTAGTGCCAGGGATGTTGCCCTGAGTAGATTCCAGGTTCTGTAAAGAGGCAGTGAGCTCCAGAGTGGGAGCACACAGAGGGTGAGAAGAGGTTCTGGTTGTCTGGTAGGTGGTTGGTCCAGAGGTACAGAAAGCTCCTTGGATATGGTGGTTGGAGAAATATCCACAAGAGTCAGATGAAGAACAGTGTCCAAGAAATCTAACTCTCCCTCACATGAGGCAGTGATGGGAAAGTATGGAAAACTTTCAAAGAATGAGATATCAACACTCACATAGAGTTTATTTGTACCAGTAGCCTTTTTTAGTGGCATAGTATCCGAGGAAGACACATTTTATTGATCTTGGATCAAGTTTACTACGAGTAGATACAGCTTTCCAAATAAATGCTGTGCACTTGAAAGTTTTGGGGTGAAGAACCGATTGGTAGGGAAACATGACATCAAGATGGCTAATGGAGTTCTGAAGTTGTGAATTTATGTAGGGACTCTATTGATGAGATAAGTGGTAGTAAACACACCATCATTCCAAAATTTTTTTGATACATTAAATTGAAACATAATGAAACGAACCACTTTGAGAAGGTCGCCGTTTTTTTTCTCGGCTATTCCATTTTGTTGAAGAGTGTATGTACATGAGCTATGATGGAGGACGACTTTATTTGCCAAGATTTCACCTAATATAAAGTTTAAAAATTCACAATCATTGTCAGTTTGAAGTACTTGAATTGATGTTTTGACTTGTGTCAAAGATGAAGGAGTGAAGTTTTTGAAGGTGAAGCAGTTTTAGATTTATATTATAAGATATAGACCCACAGTTTTGAGTGTGACCATCAATTAATGTGAGGAACCACCGTTTATTAGTATAGTTGGGAGTGCAGATGTGGATAACTGAAAAATGAGCGGAAGGTGTGTGGGAGGGGTGGATATGAAACACGATGATGTTTAGCTAATTGACAAATCTCATATTTGAAGCTAACAATGTTTTTATTAGTAAACATAATCTCATATTTGAAGCTAACAATGTTTTTATTAGTAAACATAATCTCATATTTGAAGCTAACAATGTTTTTATTAGTAAACATCAATGAATACGATTGTTTTAAATATTGAGAACTAGGAAGACTCAAATGACAATATAACAACATAATATGTCATTCGGTGGATCTAGAAAAAATGCAACTACTGGAAGACATGTTCTCGTTCTCCGTATCTTGCTCTTGGAAGAAGCAGAACCCAACTATCCTCTTAGTAGCTCCAATCATCTTTCCCGAACGAAGTTCCTGAAATCAACACTAAGACAACGAAAAACTGCATGGAGGCAGGGCATAAGAAGGGGTTGGCGGTAGGGGAGAAGTGCCGGAAATCTACAGGAGAGGGGGGGTGTGCAGAGATGAGGTGCCGTAAAAAGAAAATTGCAGGAAATGAGGGGCTACGAAATCTGCAGGAGACCTGTCAGAAAGCTGCAGGTTAGATCCTATGTAGTGTTGACTGCAAGTTAGATGCCCCGATGGCGGCTAGTGTTAAATCCTAGGATATGATACCATGTAGAAATTTGAGAATAGAGCAGGATACTTTCATCGATAGGAAAAATGTTATAAATACATATTACAAGACCCAAATAAAAGAAAAGACATAAATTCATAAATAAACCAACTAGGAAATACAGAAATATGAAAACATAAAATAAAGGAAGCAAATAAAAGTTAATAGTAGCCGCAACAATAATTAGCTTAATAATTCTAATATATAGGCTTGAATTGATATATATATAAAGTCTAATTATTAGGTTAATTACTTCTGCAGCTACTATTAATTTTTATTGTTATATAAGCCTAATTATTAGGTTAATTACGTCTGCAGCTACTATTAATTTTTATAGTTTGAGTTAGGTCTAAAGTTAAAATTAGTTATCTTTATTGAATGTAGGAATTTTGAATGAGAAGATAAGATAATTAGTGGATACAATGATTAGAGTAGAAATATTTGTTAGTTGTTTTCAAGAAACTAAATTTTAAGGATAAAATTCTAAGGGACATAGCAAACTTTTTGAGCTAATATGTTGGAAATGCTAGCAATAGAAATTAGCCAAGCATAATAGTGGTTAGAGAGTTGAAAGATGAAATTCTTCCGGCGAATAAAGTTACTGACAATCTAATAACTATTAATATGATTAAGGAAGATTTTATCAATTTCTTTAATGTTTATGTACATTAAGTTGGATTAGAAAATAGTCTTCAATTTTTTAAAGAAATTGACAAACTATTTACTGAATGCATAAGAAAGAATAGTTGTTGAGTATGATTTGAAGACATATTATAGTAGAATTGACTATGAGATGACTATACGATAGGTATTGCATAAGAGATGAAATTTTTTGTTAAAATCAATTTTATGTGCGATAAGATGAATAGTTCCATTTAGAGGATTGAAGTAAAATTTTATAGAGTAGAAATAGATTGCATATCAGTAAGGTGACATAGTGCTGGAGTGAAGAACTTAAAAAAAAAAATTCTACGAAATATTTTTTAGAGAGGCAAAAAATGAATACTTTTTAGGCTTCTAATTTTCTTAAGAAAATTAAAGGTTCTGCCATATGAGGGGATATAAGCAAAGTAAAAGGTACATCTTGTGATGATTTATAAAATCTGCTAGGCTCCAAAGGAGAAAAGGAGAAAATATATCAAACAAAAGATAATAAATTTAATGAATTAATGCTTTAAATGCATTAGAATAGAAGATGATAAAATCTTTGTTAGAAATTAAGACAAGTAAAGATGAAAATGCTAGTTTGAGAAAATATTACATGAGTTATGAGGAAGAAATCATTATGGAAGAGCATAATGAATAAAATAATGGATTGTATGTAAATTGAATCAAATTAGTGAAGTAGGGTTTGCTTAAACAATATGTATAATGCTAAAGTGGTCAGTTTCATATAAGTTCTTCTTGAGATCCAGAGAGTTATGGTTGATATTGCAATAGTTTGATTAAGAAAAAATTTCAATGAATTTTTTAAGACGGTGATGCTAAGTGATTAGAAAGAAATTTTGTGTCTAGTATTTAAGAATAAAGGGGATATTCATTGTTGTGATACATAGAAAGGATTCAAATGTATTAGTCTTACAGTTCACAATATGGAAGAATGTAATGGAGTAGAGGCTTGAAAAAGAAACATGTTAATAGAAAGGATTCAGATGTATTAGTCTTACAGTTCACAATATGGAAGAAGGTAATGGAGTAGAGGCTTGAAAAAGAAACATGTTAGTATTAGAGGACGAATTTATTGTGACGCTTGAAAGCTCAACCATGAAAGGTTCTTCATATGGCTTAGTTGATATGAAGAAAGCTTATGCTCAGGTAACGTGAAAAGTGCTTTTGTGTGTGTTGCAAAAAAATAAATAAAAATTTATGCATCAAAGGTATATTAGGGTACTAAGATATATATACTGGAGCATTGACTAATAGTGCTTTTGTGTGTGTTGCAAAAAAATAAATAAAAATTTATGCATCAAAGGTATATTAGGGTACTAAGATATATATATTGGAGCATTGACTAATATTAAAAATAGGGGCATTTACATGCATATAACACATTTTTTTTACATTTACATACCTAAAACCCAAACTTTATATTTACATGCATAACACAAATAATATCATTATTATTATTTTTGTAAAAGTGAAATACACTTTTTTATGCATAGGTTTATAACATGAAAGTGTTATAAATGTAATAAATCTCTTATGCATGAGAAATTGTGTGGTACGTATTCAAATTTTCTTTAAAAGTACTTCTATAGTAATGAATTAATTTTATAATTATAGTAGAATTACATAAATAATTAGCTTTATAACATGAAAGTGTTATAAATGTAATAAATCTTTTATGCATAAGAAATTGTGTGGTACGTATTCAAATTTTCCTTAAAAGTACTTCTATAGTAATGAATTAATTTTCTAATTATAGTAGAA